ACAGATTCGCGTTGAATACCCATTTTTAAGCTCTCTTTCTCTCTCTCTCTCTCTCCGAATTTGTAATGGATTGATTGAGTGATCAAAAGCTCAAATCTTGGCGTATCTCATTCTGTATAACCTTGAGGGTCACGTCTATCACTTTTTAGACCTTACTTCATACATATAGATGAGAAGGTCCAAATGGATTAATTGAGTCGAAGGCTCGGGTACGTTTGTGCTATGAAAATGAAAGTTGTCTAACTATTGTTATTTTAAGGTTAATCCTGGTCCCGCACGCTTCGTGTCAATATGCAAAATTTCTTTTGGCAATCCTTGCATCCATCTACTTTTGGATTTTGGGAAAGAATTTCTGCACACAATAGGCACCTTTTAGCAATTATTATATGGGGCCAGTGTCATATTATTGGTCCATTTGTCCTGAAACAGATTTCAGTATAGTTGAAGTCAATTTTTCGCGGAATTTATTCCTGAAAATACCAGTCCTAAGGTCCTAACTCCTAAGTAAAGTGATAGGTAAGATATTGCGTGTCTTTGACTTCTGGAAATCAATTATTGGTTGATTTTGTCCAAGTAGAAGTATTTGACTTTCCGCAGCTTAGATCGATTTGTGTGAGAAGTAGAACATGTTTTATTTGATGAATGTATATTGTCGCATCACTCCACCACCTAAAATCTGACCCAAAGACTTAAACTTAATAGGTGGACAAAATTCAAGTGCATATCAAGAATATATAATATCTATAGACGAGCAATGTGAAATATAATTGACTCCTCTCTCACGTGCAAGCCAGATTGGGAACAACACGTGGAATTTGACGAACGGAGGCTCACATATGCGAAACGAAAAGTTGCAAAACCTTATTGAGAAAGTCCAACCTAGAAAGTTAAGTTTAATAGAAGAAGGGAGATCACATGTATGTCAAGAGCATATAAACTTCGAAAACAAGCAATATAGGATGCTTAAAAAAACAAAAAAGAAGAAGGAAAAGCAACTTTCCATGCCTTAATCTCATAAATAGCACTATTTACTCATGTGTGCAGTAAAAATGGTGAATAATTGAACATTGCTTGCAGCAACAAAAATTGCATAATTATTGTTGTTCGTTAGGTGGGGGTACCTACGTAGGACATGCATTATTTTCCATTTGTTTTTTTCCTTTTAGCTGGGACCCATTATTTCCCCTACAGTAAAATTTCCTTTTTACAAACAATCACTGCCTTCTATACGTAAGTCCATATAATAAAGTCATCATATTTTTCTTTGATGACTTACTAAATTTTGGTATGGGAAAATGACACAAACAGTCCTAGTACTTTGGCCCAATATACAATATGGTCCCTGAACCTTTAATTTGTTCGATATGATCCATGAATTTTAACCAAATGTGCAATGTAGTCTTTGAACTTTTAATTTGTTCAATGTCATCCCTGAACTTTTGGTAAATGTTCAATTTAGTTCATGAACTATATGAAAATATTCAATATACTCCTTCCATTAATTCAAGTTCAGGGATTATATTAAACATTTTCATATAGTTCAGGGACTACATTGAATATGTACCAAAAGTTCAGGGACCACATTAAACAAACTAAAAGTTCAGGGACCAAATTGAACATTCAATTAAAGTTCATGGATTATATTGAATAAATTAAATGTTCAAGGATCATATTGCACATTGAGTCAAAGTTGAAAAACTGTTTGTGTCATTATCCTTTTTGATATTTATTCAAATAAGTTTATCCAAACCAAAGGCGACACGTTCTTATAAAGTATATGATAATTCATACAGTATGCGTACATTGTTTTAATGAGTCAGGAATTAATATAGACACTAACTTTTCCCCCTTTTTCCGTGTGTGTGTATATATATAAGTATACTTAAGATTCTACTTGGAACAGAGTCGAATGCTTTCCTTCCTTAGACAAGAAGCCAGCAAATCTTATCCACTTGCTTTTCATTTGCATTTTCCCGATAATCTTTTGGATCATTCAGATTGTGAAGATCACGTGATACCTGCCTAAGATAATGAATTAGCTGGAGCAAGGAGCTAAGTTAGTCACGAAAATTTCAAATAAGGTTGCGAAAATCTCAAATAAGAGATTAAAATGAGGTCGTCTTCTCAAAAACAAGGTTAAGAGGGGATATTGTCTCAAATAAAACCTTAAAGTGACCAATCTAATCTCAAATAAGGCCCCGAATTCACCTGCTGACCAAATCTTCTCCGGTCGATGAGTATGTGAGATGCATGTTCTCGCCAGCTGCCATAACAAATAATACTTAATAGCCGCTCTCATGAGGCTTAAGTTTTGCAAATGCTACATTGTACAGTCATTATCCTTAAACTTATATCAATCGTTTGTGCTCTCTATGAAAGAGACTTGCAAATCAAGGTTTGAATCTAGTTAATTTAGACCACCAAATTTGGGAGAGAGTACTTAATGTTGCCCACCACCATACAGATAGTCTCTCCTTGATATGTGCTCGACACTATCTTTGCCACGTCAGAGGGTCTTAGGTTTTGCGGACGCAAGAGGCAATGTTCTCATGTGTTTTACACTTAATTTTGTGATTGACATAGTGGATAGAATCAATCTCACACAAAATGAAATCTACGTGAATTTAGCATAATGTTGAGCGAGGGTCAAGGTGAGCCTCATCGTGTTTTGAGGATAAATACTTTTACTCACATATATCTTTGCAGGATAAGGACAACACAAGAGTCATAACTTTTGTATGACGCCCACTTAAATGCTATAACTTCTAAAAAACGTTCACTTGAATGCTATAACTTCTAAAAAACGTTCACTTGAATGCTATAACTTTCAATCAATTACTTAAGGGCCACAACTTTTTAACAACGTTCACCTAAGTGCCGAAAATCCGACATGGCATACCGCTTGTAGTGAACATCCTTAAAAAGTTTTGATACTCAAGAGATCGATTGAAAAGTTATATGGCACTCAAGTGATTGGAAAAGAAAGTTATGATACTTAAGTGATCGAAAAAAAAAGTTATGAAATTTATGTGAGCATCATATGAAAGTTATGACACTGTCCTTTTCCCATATATTTGCCAAGCTACATAATTTATATTTCACACGCTGTGAATAGTTATTAGCTATCAATAAATCCTTAACTTACAAATTTAACCTACATTGCAAAGTCCACTTTATGATAGCTAATCATGTTTTCATTGTCAACAATACATTATATGGTAGTAATGGAACCTTACATATTTATTGCATGTCTATTACTATTTGTTTGCATTAATAGCTATTATTATTTTTGGACAAATTAATAGCCATCATACAACCCCTCTATTTAATACGTATTGCAACTAAAACTGTTATAACAGTTGCCTTTACCTATTTTGTCTTTCTCACTTTTTCTGTAGTTGCATAATACTAATTATATTTAAAAATAACTTATAGAAGTAATCAGATTATACAATTAATTAAATATGGGAATTATTGTGAAACTATAAATAATATTATAATCTAAATTTGTAATCTAATTATAACATCTTATAAATATTTTTTACCGTAATTCGACTTATATATAATTTTATATTTTACTAATCATGATACTATTCACAATGTAACTAATATATAATAATTTTACAACTTTAAGTAGTTACCATGATTATTACTTCAAAAATATGGCGTATGATTTCATAATGTTTCATGATTCTATATATGTATGGCATATGAACTAAATTTCCTACAGTATAATTTACTAACTGACACAATTGTTAATTATTTAGTTCAATATTATATATAATCATTTACAATTTGATAAATTATATACCATAACTAAACATTTGTATACAGAACTAAAATAATATTTTAGTGGCATATCATTTAATTATATCGTTGCAAATGAACGCCTTTTTAAAATCATTTGAGAGTAAGTCTTCTGCCACTTGGTTGACCACCATAGCAATGGGGAAAGTACTAAAAAAGTAATAAACCTGTTGCATTTGTATCAATTTATTCATAAACCTTTCAATTGGATTAATTTAATTATAAACCTTTTGATTTATGTCAATTGAGTCCATTGGACCAATTTTGATTGTAAATAGCTGACATGGACGCTGATCATACTAAGTGGCGCAACCGACACTAATGTGAACATATTTTTTATAATTTTTTAACAATTTTTTTGAATTTTTTTTATTTTCTTCTTTTTTCCTTCTTTTTTTTTTCTTTTTTACCATTAAGGGCCGACAGGGACCCCAGCCATTAAGCAAGGGCCTACAAGCCCTCCCCTGACTATGAGCGAGGGCTGCGAAGCCCTCATTTGCAGCTTGCAAGGGTCTCGGCCCTCGCCAGCCACATATGAAGGCAACGAGCCCTCGCCGACCATTGCGCGAGGGCTATGAGCCCTTGCTAGCCATGGGGGAGGGCTCGCAACCTTCGCTCACAGCTGAGTGAGGGTCGTGAGCCTCACCGGTCATGTGCGAGAGCAGCAAGCTCTCGTTGGCCACCGGGGGAGGGTCGTCACCCTCACACGTGGTCGGCAAGGGACTCAATTGGTACTAATGTGAAAATGTTTATGACTGAATTGATCGAATTGAAAAATTTAGGACCGAAATGGTACTAATACAATAAGTTTAGGATTTTTTTGGTACTTTTCCCCCAACATAGGTTTCGCCACATAGCTCTCTTTAGGGAGATGAATTGTCCTCCCACCGGAAGTTTATCCAATGTCCGAGGCATGAGTTCTTAGAACTAGAAGCAATACGAGGCAAAAGGTCCATTATATTATTTCCTTCTTTGCAATTTCTTATTAAAAACGATAGATATGAAAGGCTAAAGACCATATTTCAATTATTGCATATATTTAATCGAAAATAGTATCTTATTTAATTTCTTCCTTTGTCCACTTGGGTTTCCTTCATCAGAAAAAGGCAATACGAATTATTGAGACTCCCTCCTCTATAAAAACCCAACCTCGCATCCAAGAAATGTTCATGTTCCCTCCTCCTCCTCCTCCACCATCTCCCAAAACCACCACTTTCTCGCATTTTCTCGCATTTTCTCTCCCACTTTCTCACCAACACCCACTAAAAAATCTCACTCCATCCCAACAAATCCCAATCAAAGCCTCCTTAATGCTTTCCCTTCACTCCACTCTCACTCCGCACTGACCCCATTACTTCTCCTAATCCGACTCCGTCGCTTTCCCATCAGCAGTCGCACTTTCTCTCTGTATTTTCTCGAGAAAAACAGAGCATACGCCTGCCAAGCATGGCCGCTCGCGAATTCGACGTGGTCAAGGCCGAGAAAGCCAGATCTCTACGCCGGTACGGGAGAGACCAGAGGCTGAAGGCTTTCCTCCGCGTCTCCGAGATCTGCGTCGCGCTGCTCCTGCTGGCGTACTACTCCTCCGGGATCTCTCTCTCTGCCGCGGTCACCGGCGATTCTCTCGGCCGCGTGGTCGCTCTTTTTGCCAAGCCGCTCTCCGTCTTCCTCCTCAGCAATGCTATCATCATAACCGTCATCGTCTTGTCCGGCAAGGACACGGAGCGCGGCCCGGCGTGCGATGTCTACGACGAGTACCTCGCTCGCCGGAGGACCTTCGCCAGGAACTGTCCAGCGACGGGGACATTGCTGGAGGAGACCGTCGTCGACAAACAGATCGTACTATACTCATCCTCTCCTGTTTGCGAAAATCCAGCTCTTACGGTCACGGATCCAGAGGCCGATCGCAATAAGGCGATTGTCGAAGTTACAGAGACCATTCGTGGCGTTGAGAAACTACCGGCGGTCCCTCCGGCGAAGCAATGCAGGAGGACGCAAACGACGGTGACCGTGAGGGTTCAGAGAGAGCTCCGGCTATCACCATCCAGGAGCGACAATGGGCGGCTGGACAGGGCAGTGCGGCGCAGGAGGCCATGCGCAGTGGAGGAATTGAGCAACGAGGAGTTCAATCAGAGGGTGGAGAAGTACATAGAGCGGACAAGAACGTTCTTGCGCAAGGAGAAGATGGCGGATGCGATGAAGGAGAGTTACAAAGCAATTGGTTATCATTCTGTTTGATGGCTATCATAGCAGAGATAGAGACCGTAGCTTAGGGAAAATATAGCGAAGAGGGTCAATCTGAATTTGCGAGACTGATGTGCATATGTATAGTGATGAATTTCCGATGATGATTTGCACATTAGATAACCAATCCCGACCTGATATGTCTAATTCGACGAAAGAACGGCACATCATTATCATGTAAAAATTGTGCAGTCGCTATAAAAATTCGATGTTAATAAGCAATATATCATTGTGAATTCAAAATCCCGACATCTTAGACATGGTTTCTTGATATATTTGATCATGGAGCACTGATTATGAGAAGAAAGTACAAAGAGCGACTTAAGAGTGCCCGATGGGTCATATCTATAGGGATTTGATTCTGCAACAGTGAGTTTGGATTTTGTCCAAATGGGTCGAGCTTGGACTGAGCCACCGAGTCAGCCTTCGTAGGCTCCTACTTGAGAGACCCAAATCATCAACAGACGCTGTCTACTTCTGCAACGCAACAACCTAAGAAGCACCCTCGTCTGCTGTCTCCATCTCAGTACCAGAGGAAGAACCACGGACGAAGCAAAGGTCACGCAGAGGTTGGGGAAAAGAAAGCGCACCCACTATGATTCTTCTGTTTCTCACGGCGCTTCGTTCACTGAATGAGAGAATTATCTATTTCATTTTGGATCCGAAATGGTTGATTCTTGCCAAGCAACCCAAAGCTTTTGCATTTTTAAACTTATAACAGCATTATTTCTAGATAGTGCAACATTAGCCTGCATTGTTCTGTGCACAGTTAAATAATGCCAAAAAAGAAAAGTCACTTTCCCCCCTCCTCTCTAATTTGGTCATATAAGAGCTCAGAAAAACTATCTATCTATATTCTACAGTATATAAGATATATATTGTTTCCACGTGTATTGAAATATACGCAATTTCAACTGAGGGTAGATTTGGATTAGAGGTCCAAGTATGGGTTTGTTTGTGAGGCAAATATTTTTTTGAGGTTAATGTGTGGTAGGGTTTGAAATTTTTAATGGCGTATTTGTGTGTGTCTATATGTAATAGTTGCTTCATGAGTGGTGGTTCATCATTAGCTCCACTGTATAATGGCTTGCTTCATCAACTTGATGCTCACTTTTAAGGATATAAATAACATATGTGTAACATTTGAATATTTGCAAAGTCCCTGTTCCAGCAAAATCCACTTTTTAAGTGAATGCATTTCCTTTTTCTTTCTCTTTCTTTTCCCTCCTTTTCCCAACTTTTTCCCCTCACACTCGCAGTTTCTTATTCCTTCCTTCTGCACTTCCATTTCCTTTTCAACTCAGTTGTCTCGGAGGATCCGTCAATTGGATTCTTGTTAGCAATGGATGCACCAAAGTAAAGATTGCTTCCTTTGTTGGGAAACAGGGGGAAGTGTGGACCAAGCCTGATCTAACATCTGTGATAACTTGGGACTTCTTATCCATTTTGTCTTTTTGATCGTTAATATATGATGAACAAAAATGAGGTAGGGACTAATCATGTCCTCTGATAAAGGAAAAATGACACAAACAATCAATGAAGCAATGTGGTACCTGAACTTTTAATTTATTTAATATTGTCCCTAAACTTTGGGTACGTGTTCAATTTAGTCCTTGAACTATATGAAAATATTCAATGTAGTCATTCCAATAATTCAAGTTCAGGGACTACATTGAACATATATCAAAAGTCCTAGAACGACATTGAATAAATTAAAATTTCGGGGACCACATTGAACATTAAGCTAAAGTTCATGGGCTATATTGAACAAATTAAAAGTTCAGGGAACAAATTAAAAGTTTAGGGACTGTATATGTCATTATCTCTCTCATAAATAACAATTAAACATATAAATAAACTAGAGATAATTGGAAAGGTTGAGATCCCTCTCTTTCCATTGGTACTAGGCATCTTATTTAAGATGAATTTGTATTATAGTAAGTGGAAAATACGTGGAAAGTAGTGGAAGGAGTGACTATAGGAATAACCATCCGAGGTTCAATTGCCTAAATAACCGTCAATCAGAATGATCCTTAAAAAGGCAGTGGGTAAACTCTCCACGGACAAACAATGAAATCTATTGATGGAAATGAATGCACAATAATTTGCAGTCAATGTTTCAATGAATTTTATAGTAGAAGATGAATTATAATTACCTAGAGAAAAGGGACAAGAAAAGACAAACTAACAGGATTCTCTCAATAAATATTACAATGACAAATATAATACTCTAAAGTATGACCACTACTAGAGAAAAGAAATTCTCTAAAATTAAGGCGAAGATTATATACTCAAAGCAATTGGGAAGTGTCCAACTCCTCCCTTAGTCAAGCAAAATAAAAGTTAAAGAAACAACAAAAATCATCGTCCGCCAAAAGCAACAATCCATAAAAGATAAACACGTAAAATAAAATAAAAAAAAGGTTCAAAATACGTAGCATAAAACATGAACTATAGAACTTCATTCCTCAGTTACCATAAAAAAATGTTCCAAATTCTAACCACCTTAAAACAAAAGAAACAACAAACATATTTAATCACTAAATAATAGTTTTAAATTAAAGTTACTATTAATTTTCAAAACATTTGGTAGAAAACTTCACCACATATATTCATTCCACTTCAACTCGTATACTTTGCTTACTGATGATAATCTCCTCATTAAGGCAATCCATACCTTAAAAAAAAGAGATTAAATTAAAAGAATTCACTCATTAGTTATACAAATAAATTACAAGATAAAAATAAATGTACATGACTTATTTACCCGGCGCTACCCAGTCGTACAACGTGGCACGGTCGGCGTGTGAAATTTGTTTATATTTTGTAATTTTTTTACTATCTATTTTTTCTTTTTATCCTATTCTACTGTTCATCTTTTTTCCTCTGTCAATTGTTGGGCCTCGGTACTAGCCAACTGCTGCGAGAGTTGCAGCCCTCACCAGATCTGGGTGAGGGCAATTGTCGCATGTGGTTGCCGGCCATCATTTAGGTCCCGCGACCAGCAGAGGAAGAAGATGAACAGTTGAATAGAAAAAAGAATAAAGAAAGAAAAGAAAGAAAAAAGAAGGAATAAAAGAAAAAATTAGAAAATTTAAATAGATTGCAAAAATTGTCTACGTTAACAATTTTCGGCTTAAATTGATCGAATAGACTACATTGAAAAGTCGTCAAAAGGTTTAGAACTAAATTGGTTGTTGTACAAGAGATTGGGATTTTTTGGATAATTTTCCTAATTACATATTGAAGCTAAACTAATTTTCATCTCACAAAAACAAAATTGAGTAACTCAAATTAATTTCCTAACAAACAATCTCAAACGGGTGCCGTTGACCCAAATCTACCATTCGTGAAATGCATAAATGTCTAGATACATGGATTTTTTACATTGGATTTGTCATTCTCCTTGTTAGATTTGTCTTGCAACTATCTTCCACATGTGTTGATATATATATATATATATATATATATATATATATATATATATATATATATATATATATATATATATATAACGGAATATCGGACAAAATGCTAATGTAGGGTAGATTTGAGTCAAGCGCACCGGTTTAGGGTTTTTTATAAGATGAGAGCTAATTTGGAGTAAATGTGTTATGTGGTAACAATTTGGAATTTTGACGAGACAAAATTAAGTTTTGGGTAAATGTATCGTGGGGTACTAGTTTGCTCAATTGTTTGTTCCATCATAAGAGTGGTTTAACAAGTCAACTGCTCATTTCTCGAACTATATATTCACCATGATGTTTTTCTGGTTTGAAAAGATTGAAGACGAACTATTAATGGACTTAAAAGAGCCAATCTCATAGTGCACTTCACCACAATGACGGCGACGATACATGGTTCTCCTTGTTCGATCGGAACGAGGGTTGAAAAGATTAACTACAAATTTGTATAGCCAAAGTATTCCATATCGCTTATACAGGTAGTTTACAATGACTTAACTGTGTCCACATTATTCCCTTTCACATAATAATTTTAGTCATAAGTCGAATATTTCGAACCTGCACTACATATGATAATGGAAGAACTCCAAATAAGATAGTGCAAGTTGAGCTTCCTTCCAAATGACGGTATGCGTGTTCGTTATGAAGCAAATAATGTGCCCTTCTCTTTCGGGCTTTCTTGCGTTCTATTTCGCAGTTGCTACTTGCTGCGAACTAGCTAGCTGTCTTCTTTTTTGTCCGATTCCTGCTTACTTTCGGAAAAAAAGGGATGAAACTCTTGTGGTTTTGTACCGAAGCACGGGCGTGAACCGGCCGGACCGTGAACCAGTTCACTAAGGAATTATTGGGTCCAGTACATTGGCGGAGCTTGAGTTGATAGACAGTGGGGAGCAAATTTTTTATTTATTTAAAAAAGACAGAAAACATGAGATTATTCTTGTTAGAATATTTAAATAATAAATCGCGCATTCATCTAACAGCCTAAGTTTTTAGAACAATTGGCAATTGTCCCACTAAAATGTCACATGGTATCAGAGCAGGAGGTCTCAAGTTCAAATCTTCTAGGTCCCTATTTGCCTCCCCAATTGTATATTTCCATACTTTAGGCTAAAGCCAGCACTACAAAAAAACAAGAGTTTTCCAACGAATTTTCATACGAAAAATTTGGCAAAATTTGTTGGAAAACGAATTTCCAACGAAATTAGCGACGAACAAAAATTCATTGGTAATTCATCGTCGCAAATTTTTGAGACAAAAAATTTAAATTTTCGTTGGTAATTTGCGATGAAATTTTTTCGTCGCAAAATTCGTTGGAAAATTCGTTGGAAAGTTCGTTGGAAAATTCGTCGCTAATTATTCGTTGCAAAAATCGTGGCAAAATTCGTTGGTAATTATTCGCGGTAAAATTCGTGACAAAACAAATTTTAGACGAAAAAAAATTCGTTGGTAATTCGGCGTTGGAAATTTTTGCGAAAAAAAATTTTAATTTTTCGTTGGTAAATTCCGACTCAAAAAAATTCGTTGCAAAATTCGTAGATAAATTCATGGCTAAATTTGTTGGAAAATTCGTTGCTAATTATTCGTTGGAAACATCGTGGCAATAGTCATTGGTAATTTCCAACGAAATTAGCGACGAACAAGAAAATTTCCAACGAAATTAACGACGAACAAGAAAATTTGAATTTTCGTTGGTAATTTGCGACGAAAATCAATTCGTGGCTAAATTCGTGGCAAAGTTCGTTGCAAAATTTCGTGGCA